AAATAAAAGAAAAGTTTTACCTTTGTGTATCAACTCCATATGGCAAAATGAAAGCCTCTTCAGTGTGAAATGAAAGTGTGTTGTTTAATTTTTTTCAAAATCTTTTCTTGGCTGTTAATACAAAGTCTATCTAAACCTTTGTTATAAAACTAATATTTTTACTCACATCATGGAGAGGGCGGGAAGGAAACTGAAAGGAAGTTGAATAAACAGAAACTATATGCTTGGTTATCGTTTTTCTAGTCATTACACTTAATTCTTGTAAATGGTTTATAGAAAACACTATTACTATAATTGACAAATAGATTGGATAATACTCAGCTACTTATCTGGTTATTTAAGTGGTATTAAGGTACTCAGTGTGGCAGCCAACAAAGTTCTTTTAAATTCATTAACTTAGGGGCATCGAGTGGCACAGTAGGTTAAGCAGGCAGCAATGAGGTAATGAGGTCTGGATTGCATAAAATAAGTAGATCATGATCCCCCATTATCTGCCGGAGGAAACATATCACTAACTTCAAATCTCTCTCTCAAATTAAATCGAAGGCAACTGGACTTGTATTTGTCTGTGGAAGACGTTTCGCCTCTTATCCAAGCGGCTTCATCAGTTCTTATGTATTGGTCTCTCTAGTCCGCACTAGTCTGTCTTCCACAGACAAATACAAGTCCAGTTGCCTTCGATTTAATTTGAGAGAGAGATAACAATGACCTGGACGAATGAGAACATTCACAGACACTAACTTCAAAATAAGTGGATTAATTTAGTCCCAATTATTAGTGGGACCTGTAGAAATAACATCCCACCAAGTAACCGTGGTAGTAAATAGACCAAAATGAACAATGTCTGTTACAAGCGCATACTGATATGTTCAGCAGTTTCTTCAAAATCAAAGCCAATATTGTTATGACAATGAAATAGACAGAAATAATAAAAAAAAAAAAACTTTCCTACTCTCACACATTTTTCATTGTAATACAATAAATTATTTTACTATGTGTCATTGCAATACAAGAACAACGCTGCTTCACTTTTACATAGATCAGCAACTTAGCTTCAGCCTTTTCTACATCATTTTGGTTATGATAGCGATCAGATGGACACTAAAGACCTTGTTCTAACTTTTAAGACTGCACAGATTTTCCACTTACTTACCTATTTGAATTCATTTAGATTATTTTTAAGTATTTTAAAGTAGTCAGTAAAATAGATTTGGTCAACATTAGGGGTTTGTAAATAAATATAACGTAACTGCCCTGACAGCAGGAAAAGAAACACAGTCAGGTGGAAAAAAAGTTTAACCAGGGGGCAAACAGAGGCCTCCTTTTGTCCAATTAGACTGGAATCATGGATTCACTTTTTCAAAATTAACAAAGAATTTCAGTTTTTATGACAAATCTGCAGTTGAATTCATTGGAAACTCTGTATTTAATATATTTGCAACACTAAATTTCAAGGCTGGCATAGAAACAGTAACTAACTAAGTGACGGCAAGACTCAGGGTAGGATCCATTTCTGTTAGTGGTACCTTGGCTGCACTTTCCACTGAACACAGTTATGTGTTGGCTGGAATTGCTTAGAGGATGTGGTGTCTGGTGGGTGGGGGAGGGTAGACTGAATCTAACCTGCATTAAGCTATCTCATGGGGCTCCTTGCTGACAGGTAAAAAGTAGCAGCTGGTAGCTCCATGTGTCACAGAGGCAGCTCATGGCTGTCGACTCCTTTTCTCAAGGTCAGCAGAGGAGACAGCAGGGACAAGGACTGCAGTGCAGAGGGAGCTGGGCTTTCCAGGAGAAAAAAAAACTAAACTAAAAAAACAAAATAACTAGGTCTGCATTAAATTAAATATTGGCTCTCTGCAATAATAATTGTGTTAAGCTATCTCGGCTCCGACTGAACGATCACAAATACATAGTTGTAATATTATTTAACAGTGTACAACATATGTATTTTCAAAACCCTACAGCAAACGTGGTATCTATTAAAGTTGAATGATGACTTGAAGAATGATTTGGTTTCTTGCCTGTCACCAGGCATCATACACTTGCATGCTTATGTTCTGCATTGCTTCTAAAAGGTCTGTGATGTAAATGACAATACACTAAATCTGACAATCTTGGATGCTTAAGTTATACAATTTTACGGTGCATCTAACAAGTCCTGCTCAATGAACAAACTAAAAGCTGTTGGTGTGACTACCATTAGCAGGTTTTCAGAGCATTAAGCTAAACTAAGGTAAAGCTAGCTGCCACGTTGCTGAGTGGCAGTTGTGATGCAGGTTTTAATTGTTCCTCAACAAAACCCCTAATGTTTTTTTATAAGGAAAATCCTCAGTGGAGTAAAACTTTCAATCCAAGCTTTTTGTTTAGCAGATGAACAACTTGAACAGTAAAGAAGAAAAACATGATCTCACAATGCTGGCAGTTTTTCAGTCAATTATTTTAGTGCATGTCATCAACTAGAAAATAAGTTTCACACATATGTGTTGGGAGAACCCAAAGATCTTCTGTGTTAAGGGTTGAGACTTGATGATTTCCCTTCCACCTGGCATTACCCCTCACTAAATGGATTATCCCTGTATAGGAATGAGTAGCTCACTAATTATGGGGACTAAAGTCAGGCGACTGTAGCTACAATATGTTAGTGATGGATGGGAACTAATGTTGGAGATAAACAAATTGTTTTTTATAAATTAATTACAGTAAAATATTTACAGTAATTAGTGTACTGTGGCAATGATTGACAGTTGTGTTAAATAGTTGAGAAAACCATAGCAAATTCCATTCCAGTCCATTTTCTGACTCTTGAGGTGTTGTTTATTTTGCCTGACCAAACTGTAATCTCCTTACTGGATCAAACCTCAAAATCTTTTAACCCCCACTAGTGCCCATACCATATACCAGAGGTGGAAAAAGTACAAAAATATTGTACTCAAGTAAAAGTACCAATACTTTGATGAAATATTACTCAAGTAGAAGTAAAAGTACTCATCTGAAAATGTACTCAAGTAAAAGTAAAAAGTAGTTCATTTGAAATGTACTTTAAGTAAAAGTTACTTAGTTACTTTCTTTGTGTGGGGTGTGAGGGTAGTAAAAATAGGACAAGGGGTCAGAAATCCAAAACTATTTTGTTTTTAATTAAAGAACAAGTGTAACAAATGTAAGTGCAATAACAACAACTTCACAACAACTGAACTTCTTGTTCAGTTTAAGTAGCAGCTTTAAGTTAGTTGAGCTCATCCATTTAGTGGTACAACATTAAACATGCTTACTCTCACGTTTTCTCTCTCACCCTCATCATTTGTCACTGTTGGTTCTGGCCATTGTTTTACTGTCTATGGTTCTGGCGCGTATTTTTCCCCTGTAGGTTGAATTGTTATTTTTACTCAGTAACGGATAGGATTTATAAAGTAACTAAGTACAATACTTGAGTCAAAACGTACTCAAGTAAAATACAAAATACCGATTTTAAATTGTACTTAAAAAATACAAAATACACAAAAAAAGTATTCAATACAGTAACGTGAGTAAATGTATTTCATTACTTTCCACCTCTGCCATATACACACAGTCATGTGTGTGTCTGTGTAACAGTTATGCTGCTTTTACGGTATGTTTTTATATTCATACATGTAAAATATATATAATATATTTTAGTCTTACTCCCAAACACTTTTTATTTATTTTTTATGAGTCATTATTTTTTTTAAAACATCAGTGACTAGCAGCTGAGCATTATAGCATTAGATTTTTACTTTGGTGTATGAGCAGCCACCCCACTTAGCAGACTTAAACTGCAGTTCATTTTAATCTCAACCACATAACAAAACATTTTACCTATAGTGAGGTACACAATGGATACTGCAAACTCAAATGGATAGAGGTTTCAACATGCAAACTAGGTCAAAACATTGTATCACTAAATCTAGGCTCAGAACAGAACCACATCTTTAACTAGTCCGCCTCTCACAACACAGAAACTGCACTCACAGGTGGCAAATGGTATTTTGAGAGGAGCAAACTTTAGTTCTTACTGTAAGCATCTGCACAGCTGGCTGGGTAGAAATTAAACAATGCTTCAATAAGAAAATCTTTACGTTCAAAACTACATTACACCACATTATACCACACAATATCCAATTTTTTTTATCTATCTATCTATGTATCTATCTATCTATGTATCTATCTATCTATCTATCTATCTATCTATCTATCTATCTATCTATCTATCTATCTATCTATCTATCTATCTATCTATCTATCTATCTATCTATCTAACAATATGAAACACAAGGATGCACAGTTGATGTTGTTTCAGTTTAAATTTATATTGCATTCATTTTCATTACATGTTTTAATGCGTGTATCTTTCATACCTATTATCTATCTATCTAAAATGATAAACAGCATACTGTCTTCTTTTACAGTACTAGTGTGGCTGCAGTGCAACTTCACCATGTGGACTGACTTGCACTCTGAAATCCTGTTAACCAATTGTTGCTGCATCCAAACTAAAAGGATGTAGTAACCTAATCAAATTACAGGCGGCAGTTTGAGACTTGGTTTAATGGTGTTTAGGACATAAACACATTTTGTGTAATTAAAAGTACTTTATTCATTTAAAATTGTGCAATTCACTCAGCTCCTTCAGAGGAAATGTTATACTGGAGTAGAAACAAAGATAGACAGGAATTTATCTCAGAACTGTTCATGACAAGAAAATATCTATGTCTATATGTAATATGTAAATATCTATATGTATATATACATCCGAAAAGAGAGTTGAACTCTGCTCTGTTGAACAACAAGTGATTATGGCCTGACAGATTATGGGCTGAATTCTCATTCAGATCCTCTTTTCTTATCTTCTTGATCCACTGTGAGTCGGCCCCTGGGGGCTATATAACCATAGCTGCAGTATAACATGGACAGCAGACTCTTGGCTGCATTAACAGTGCTCCAAAGTTATTCTACTCTGCCAAAACAAATCCTAACTTGCAAAGATGGAGAACGGCACAGAGGGCAAGAACTTCTACATCCCCATGAACAACAGGACGGGGCTTGTGAGGAGTCCTTTTCACTATTCACAGTATTATTTGGCGGATCCATGGCAATTCAAACTGCTTGCTCTTTACATGTTCTTCCTGATTTGCACTGGCTTCCCCATCAATGCTCTGACACTGTTGGTCACAGCTCAGAACAAGAAGCTACGGCAACCTCTCAACTTCATCCTGGTCAACTTGGCTGTGGCTGGACTGATCATGGTCTGCTTTGGGTTCACAGTCACCTTTTATACTTCCCTCATGGGCTATTTCTCCTTGGGACCAATGGGTTGTGCTATTGAAGGATTCATGGCTACACTTGGAGGTGAACTTTAGGAAAATGGTTATTTGCCATCACACATGCAGAATGTCTTATTGTTTATCTTGTAAAATTTTTTGACTCAAAGTTGTAAAGACTAAATTAGCTCTAAGCTGGTGTAACACATGGCAAGATTTGAAGATTCTCACTACAAATTATGCTCTCTTTCTTTTACCAACAGGTCAAGTGTCTCTGTGGTCTCTCGTGGTTCTAGCTATTGAGAGATACATTGTGGTCTGCAAACCCATGGGTAGCTTCAAATTTACAGCCACCCACGCTTCAGTTGGCTGTGCATTCACCTGGATCATGGCTTTCTCCTGTGCTGTTCCTCCTCTGGTTGGCTGGTCAAGGTAATGGACTAATTCCTCGAAATGGATCACATAACCCTGTCCACATCAGGGTTGGCAGAATGGAGAATGGAGAGGACCTTTAATGAATGAATGAATGAATGACCTTTCCACTATTCTCTAGATTTATTTATTTATCTGTGCACTCTCTTATTGTACTTCCTGTTTAATCTCTAACATTTTACTCACCAACTTAATTACTCAGTTGTTGGGATGTGATGATGTTAGGCTACTAGAATTCACCACTAACTTTTATCTCATAGTCTGGGTGTGTTTACCCTACATTTTGAAGACATTGGATCTTGGTTCCTTAACTACACAACCAAAAGGAAAGCAGTCTAAAAAAACAGATTGTTTCCCATGTTTCCTGAAAAGCTTAATATTTTCATGTGCCAGTATTGATATGTGTGAAAATGTGGATGCTTTATGGCTGTTAATGTGGGTGTGGCCAGGTTCAGTGGTACAGGCATGTCTTTGGTAAATCCACTACTATGCTAGTACGGCCACCCGTTGATGCATGAAGTGTTCGTTCTGGCCTTTCATTTTGTAGTTTCATGTTTACCTAGCTACATGTGAACTCCTTCTCAACATTATGTTTATGGCATTTCACTGTTTTTGGGATTATTAAAAGTAGATTGTAATGACATACTATTGATTATCTACACACACTAGTTGCCATTACACACATACGAAATGTGGCAGACTAATGTGTCACCATGATGTGCAGACTTGCGCTCCACTTTTGTTCTTGCTACCATTTTTACTTTGAAAATCTGATACTCATAGAACCCTTAATCCCTCATGAAATCCTAGTATTTTCATTGTACAGTGGCCTCTGACATGGTATGTTGTCCAGTTACAGTTCCTCCTGAAGCTAATGTGTTTGACTTTCAAAATCTTAAACAGAAAAAAGGTAACGATATATAATGTAAAGTTTTGAGATCATGTATCTGATGCATTATTTCTTGTATTCACAGGTACATTCCTGAGGGTATTCAGGTCTCCTGTGGACCTGACTACTACACTCTGGCTCCAGGCTACAATAACGAATCATTCGTTATGTACATGTTTAGCTGCCACTTTTGTATTCCCGTCTTCACCATCTTCTTCACTTATGGAAACTTAGTGTGCACAGTGAAGGCGGTAAGAGACATGTTCTTTAATCTAGTGTGGTGTTTTTAAGTGCAATTTTAGATATTCTGTACAGACTGTATATGGAACACTTGTTTATAAGGAAAACTTAACTGTGCTTGGCTTTTATGACCTGAAATCTTGATCCTGTTGATAGGGTCAATGTGAAATCATCAAAAAGAACACAATACGTACAATAACCGATGATGACCTCCTTTTTCAGGCTGCAGCCCAGCAGCAGGACTCAGCATCCACCCAGAAAGCTGAGAAGGAAGTGACACGCATGTGCATCCTGATGGTGATGGGCTTCCTCGTGGCCTGGACCCCATACGCCAGCTTTGCTGCATGGATCTTCTTCAACAAGGGAGCTGCCTTCTCAGCTACAGCCATGGCTGTCCCTGCCTTCTTCTCAAAGAGCTCAGCATTGTTCAATCCTGTGATCTATGTGTTGATGAACAAACAGGTATGGAATTTATAGCACTTGTAAGCAGTGTACATACACTTAATACACTGTTGATAAAACCCGTTAACAGAGTAATGAGCAGATAAATGGATAGTTTTTTTTTGTGTTTAGTAATGTATTTTTAACTTCCCTTATAAAAGTAACTTAAAACTTAAAACACACAGCGTAACATGATTGTAATCAACTGAACACATGACTAAGTAATTGTAGTGTTAAAAAGCATATTCAAGTGTTTAAACACATGTAAAAAAAATCAAAGTATGCAAAAACATTTTATATTATTACTATTAGGTTAGTTTGTCAATTATTCATTATCTGTATATACTCTAATTACATGTAGGGATGCTTCACAGGAGGAATTTAAGTTTTTGACAAATACATTAATGACCACTTACAGTGTCCATTTAGCTGCACATATACAACTACATTATAGTTATAAGTTATAAACCATATATTTATTTATATACTTTTAATGCAAAATTTCGCATTACAAAACGTTTTGTTTTTGTTAAATGTTCATTGATTCTTAATTTTTTAATCATACAATATACTGCGTGTTTTCAGTTCCGTAACTGCATGCTGACCACTGTTGGAATGGGCGGTATGGTGGAGGATGAGACCTCAGTTTCAACCAGCAAGACAGAAGTATCCTCTGTCTCTTAAGAATAATAACAACACTTCTTCGGACGTCCACCTTCCTGATGTCTTCCGGATTCTGAATGGCTATCTTGAAATGGAAATAATAAGCAAATGGATACAGACAAATGATCTTTTCTGCAACAAATGGACGGCTGAATCTCGACAACGCTAATGGATTTTTCAAATGGACTAATAATGATTTCAATACAGATGGTGGTGTCATTTTGTTACTTTCAGTAGGGTCTCCAAGAAATACTGCAGGTTCCTAAACATCACCTACAAACCTTCACATGCTGTACAGTGATATCTGACACCAGGTATAGCATGTGAAGCTTTTCTCTCACAGCAACATTTCTTGTTGAACATTAGTCAAAGTAATTCTGCTATTCAATGAATGGAAATATCAACATAAAAATCATAAAAATGTACCAGTGCTTATTTTGTTCTGCTATATTGAAACTTTATTTTTTGAAGGTCAGAACTGATTTTCTTGGCCGATTGTGTATATATTTTATAAATACTTATCACATTTGAAATGTAGGTCAATAAATGCATGCATCCAAACTGTGTCTGTTTCTTTTATAACACACCTTTTATGAAAAATACATCATTTTACACAGTTTTTTAAAGTTGAGCTCATCTGTTCTTTTATTTGTGAAAAAACTATTTTTTTCAACAGTGTCTTTAGTCCTTTTCTGGCAGGCGAGCACCTCTGCTGGTTTTTAACTGTTAAATTGGGTGATTGATTTGCATGGGCTTATTAAGATAAAAAAACAACTACTATGATTATGATTGGATGATGCAGCTCCCAGGTGCCCCACATTTCCCTCACAGACATGTAGGCCTGGTGAATTAGTGGAACTAAATCGATAGTGAGTGACTGTAAGTGTGTGCAATTGTATGTCTATAACTGGTTAGCCAAGTATTGGGCTGGGATCTGTCCAAGTTGTGTCCAACCTCTCACCTAGTGTGAACAAATGGATTATTACAATTGACACTAAATTATTCCTTTATTTAAACTTTATTTATATAGCACCTTTCTTACACAAGATGCAGCTCAAAATGCTCAATGAAATAAAATAACAAAAGAGCAGCCATTTGTATTTTTAAACAGTTAAAAAAAAGAGGATAGATGCAGTTCACAGTAATTTTGTGTTTCAGCTTTAGCATTCAGGGATTGTGCGATCTGCCTACATTTGTGTCAGTTTACCCTTTGTTTTTTTTTAAAATAACAAAACTGGTCATTTGTCAAGAAAGACCTTTATGACTGCAACTCACAGTTACTCACGGTTAATACTGAGAGAAGATCGTGGTCATGGAAAAGGGTTCCTCTCACAGACAGACTAAACAAAATCTACAGATACATAGAGAATTATTTGCTGTCCACCAAATGCCGATTTCAACATACTCCAGCCAGTGTTAGTCTGAATAGGAATAATCTGATAGATTCTTAAAAAATAAATGAATAAATAAATAAAACAATAACAGTGACCAAAAAATGTATTCAGCATTGTGGCAGAATATATATGACATAGATACATACATGTCAAGGACAATCTCTGCTCTTACAACTATCAGTCAGTGTTGTCTGCAGACGTCACTTGTTCTCTGCGGTGGTCATTAAGGTGAAAGGAAGTGGGAGGTATTTCTGTTGGTCCTCTTACAAGCACCAATGAGATAAGTGGTACTTATATAAGTATGTCAGTCCAATATTTAGTTTAGTTTTTTTGACACAAAAGATAAATATGTGTGACCATGAGCATAATTTACTGCAATGATCTACAGTGCATTTTATACAATCAATAATTCATCCAGCTGAAATACTTACAGTTATTAACACTGAACACAATAAAATAATTATTATAAAGTAAAGTAAAAAAAAGAGAGATGAGTTCAAAAAAAAAGAAGGCTTTTTTCAGCAACAGCCCTTGCTGCATGTGTGGAGCTTTTATAGATTTATTGAGTTTAAATTAAATCACAAGTAAAGACATCTCATGCAATTTAAGCATAATATTATTTTATGTCGGCAGTGTCAGCTCTCAGGATTGTGTCAAATTTCTAGCATTTAAAACAAGGGCAAATCATCTTCTCAGTAATACAAACAACATTAATAAGAACCATTGAAATGTGTAAGAGGTCATTAGTTGTGTGGTAGGCTATATATGATTATTCAAAATGAGAAGTTTTTCTCTTTAAACAAGTAAGAAAACTTTAATTTGTTAGAATTTGCAAAGAGGTTTTACTTATACTCAAGCACAACTGCAAGGACTAACTTCATAAGAAGAAAAAAAAGAAGAAAAAAAAAAAGGCAGGCAGAGATGGTGAAATTAAGTGGATGATTATCCGGTGTTACCATGAATTACAGGGGCTTACCTAAAAAGACTTATTCTCAATCCCCCTGTAATCCACTTTTTGAACAGTATAAAGCTGACACTTAGACTTGCAAATGACCTGCAGAGGGGCTCTTTACTGCATTAGACAAACAACGCACATCATCATTGAAAGAAGATGGAGAACGGCACAGAGGGCAAGAACTTCTACATCCCCATGAACAACAGGACGGGGCTTGTGAGGAGTCCTTTTGAATACCCACAGTACTACCTGGGGGATCCATGGCAATTCAAACTGCTTGCTGTCTACATGTTCTTCCTGATCTGCACTGGCTTCCCCATCAACGCTCTAACTCTGTTGGTCACAGCTCAGAACAAGAAGCTCCGGCAACCTCTCAATTTCATCCTGGTCAACTTGGCTGTGGCTGGACTGATCATGGTCTGCTTTGGGTTCACCATCACCTTCATAACTGCAATTAACGGCTATTTTATTTTCGGACCAATGGGTTGCGCCATTGAAGGGTTCATGGCTACTCTGGGAGGTACATGATTAAATGTTACTGCCTATTATTGCTTCATATAGTACTTCATATAGTACTTTAAATATCCACTAAAAGTCAACTACAGGTATAAAGAGATGTTTCCTATTCTTTCTTTGTCTTACAGGCCAAATTGCTCTCTGGTCTTTGGTTGTCCTGGCTGTTGAGAGATACATTGTTGTCTGCAAGCCTATGGGAAGCTTCAAGTTCACCGCAAGTCATGCAGGAGTTGGAGTTTTTTTCACCTGGATCATGGCTCTTGCTTGCGCCGCCCCTCCACTGGGTGGCTGGTCCAGGTAATTCAAATATCATGCATCTTCATCTATGCACTAAAATGGACACATTCAGAGAAACTACACATTGAGATAGGTTCACGTTCAGACAGATATTGTCTAAGTATATTAGGGTCCCAAACTCCCATGGTGCTAAGACTGTAACTAATCATGCGAAGAAAAAAAAAGGACTCTGTAGCTATTTTGTGAAAGAAGTCGGCAGCTTAGAAGAAAACTGTACACAACTGGTGCTAATTACAACAATAACAGTTTGGGTATTCAGACCCATCACTTAGTGAAAAAAAAGTAATAGTGCAGTTTAAAACAAGTTAAACCAATGCATTCAAAATGCTATTTGAGTAAGGATATGATATAGTACAAGCAAACTCCTGAACAGATGAAAAGACAAAACAAAAGTAGCGCTCTGATGATGACTATGGTGCGGCACAAAGAGCAGTTTGAGCTCTCTACACAAATTTAATTTTCCTACAGTTCAAAAAGAAGTGAGACCCTATACAATATAATGTGCTTCATCCAAATCTCCTGCTGTTTCCTCATTTGTTGTTCCACAGCTGATAAAATTGGGCAGGGTGCAGCTATCGTGCCAACATGTATCTAAACGATCAGATCAATTTGTAGCTATCGAATAAAAATAGATCTGAAAATAAAACCAGAAAAGTGTAGCTGAAAAGTTTTCTTGCTTCCAAAATGCACTTGTGTAAGAGTGAAAAGCATATTCATAAACATCAGTGCTGAATGATTTTCTCTGCTGTCCCTCTCTGTTCTCACACAGGTACATTCCTGAGGGTCTGCAGTGCTCTTGTGGACCAGACTACTACACTCTGGCCCCAGGCTACAACAACGAATCATACGTCATGTATATGTTCATCTGCCACTTCTGTGTCCCAGTTGGAACCATCTTTTTCACTTATGGAAGCCTTGTGCTGACAGTCAAAGCTGTAAGTCTTACTTTCTTAACTAAAGGGTAGTGTAATAGACTGTGTGGGGGGACAACTGCCATCCCACAGAAAAACTCCCCTGTACCCTGACTTTAATTGCTACACCCTGTGCCACACTTTTATCATCACATTGATAGTATTTTCTGCTTTCTTATGTTCTCCTCTACCGTAAAGTGTCTTTGAGTACACAGAAAAGCATTATATGAGTCATATTTGTCAATATTATTGTTTTATAATTTGATTATGCTGTTTTAATGGTAATATATAACATGTCATGTGCAGGGTTTTCAAAAGACTATTCTTTATTGACTGTTCAATTGCTTGGCTTAGCAATGGGTTTGCATTTTTTGCATCTTGATTTAATGGTTTGGTCATTATAAACTCATCTGACAATTATATTCTCAATCATTTATCATTTTACCTCAAGATGGATCTTCAAATTGTTGTTTTGTCTGACCAACAGTCCAAAAGCCCATATTATTAAATTTGCAATATTATAAAACAGAGAAAAGCTAAAACTTTAACGTGTAAGAACTTGTACACAGTCAGTGTTTGGCATTTATGCTCCATATTGTGCTAAGAGCTGCTGTATGTATGTCTGGCTAACCTCATTCCTGCTCTTCTGTTCATCACATTTCAGGCTGCAGCCCAGCAGCAGGACTCAGCATCCACCCAGAAAGCTGAGAAGGAAGTGACACGCATGTGCATCCTGATGGTGATGGGCTTCCTCGTGGCCTGGACCCCATACGCCAGCTTTGCTGCATGGATCTTCTTCAACAAGGGAGCTGCCTTCTCAGCTACAGCCATGGCTGTCCCTGCCTTCTTCTCAAAGAGCTCAGCATTGTTCAATCCTGTGATCTATGTGTTGATGAACAAACAGGTCAGTTTATTACTGCGGTGTAGCAACTGTTACTGCCGCCCTGT